CGCGCAGCGGCCTTGTTTGTCAAGGTTTGTGTTTCAGAGTTATAGAGTTAAGAGAGGGTTACTAACCACAAGTAACCTCCTCATCTGTAGTGGCCTTCTCGGCATTGGGGAGGTGAATTACAAAAAAAAAAAAAAGAAAAAAAAACTTCTGCAAGACTAAAACATGTCATGTCGTCTGGACCACAAGCTGTAGAAGAGTCACAGCAGGAAACCACTTTAGATACAAAAGCTGGACAAAAACGCAATTAGTTGAATCAAGAGATAGTATTAATGAATTCAGCTTTGTCTTTAGGTGAGTTAAAAATATCTGAACTGTACAAGAGAAGTGGAATAACAGATTTGCCCTTATTATTATTATTGTTAAAGATTCTACAGGAGTCACGAGAGCCTAATATTTGACATGAAATATGACTTTGGCGTTAGACAAAACCTTTTTACAATAGTTTTTAGCAATAGTAAACAGGTGTCTGTTTTCTGAAGAATTGTTTTCGTTATAGATATGGAAGTAATGGTTTCGATTGGAAATTGCAGCAGCACAATGTGAGGAAAATCATGGAGAAGAGTGAAGCTTGACTTAAAATCGTCAAAAGAGAACAAAAGATTCCGTGCCAGCCTAAATCCAAGAAGTTATGTAAAAAGTAAAAAAATTGTCAGCAGGAAGACAATTGACAGCAGGAAGGAAAATTGACAGCAGGAAGACAGCAGGAAGACAGCAGGAAAAAATTTCTATCAAGGGCCTTCAGGAAGAAAATTCCAGAACGAGTCCCAGTCAGCTTTAAGATCGTTGTAAGAGGTACAATGATAGGGGGATTCAGATGATGAAGAAGAATGAAATAATAGTTTTAGAGAGATCAAATGTAATCAGAAGTTCCTTAGGCTAAATGTGGAAAAACTGAGCATTGACTAGGATCAGAAACAAGAAATAAGTCAAGTAGAGAAAGTAAATTATTTGGATTGCCTGGAAAGCAAGTTGGAAAGTTGACAATTTGAGTTAGAGATTGAGAAAGGCAAAAGTTGAGGGCCTTAACGCCTGCAATGTCAGTGCACTGTCACTAGAGCCATTAAGTGTGATAAGCATTAAAATCCTAACAATAACGATATTGGCTCCTGAGTTTTGTCACATCAGTTATAACCATTGTGTCCCATAATTAGAGATGTGACGCGTTTTTTTGGTTCTTGTTTTTTTGGTTTTTTTGGTCGTTTTTTTGGAAAAAAAACATAGGGGTCCGTTTTTTTGGTTTTTTTGGGAAATATTCAAAAATTCATTGTTTAAGTTACTAAATTTAACTTTAATGGCAATATCTTAATTCATATTTTAATTTCTGATTTAAATAGGACAATAAATACTGAAATTTACTGAATTAATTTTTGTTTTGGTAAATTAACACGGTTAAAGGTTAACACGGTTGAAGCAGTTCTGTATAAAAACTACTTTGATAATTTTATCTTCCTCAATTTTATCTTTATTGTTTTTAGTGTATATTGACACAATAAACATTATTTATTTACATTTATTATATTTAATAAAATTTAACAACTAATGAATGAAACTTAGCATAATAAAGAGTCAAGCGAGAATGAGTTTTTGTTAATGGAACTAGAGATAATAATTCTCTTGAGCAGCCACCATGATAGAATTTGTAGAAAAGAGAAAGAGATGCAACTTTATGACAATAGGAAGGAGGCTCAAGCTTAGCAGATAGAGCTTGTTTAGAAAAAAAAGGGCATTATAAGAAGAACCAGCCCAAGTATGACAACAACATTCCATACAGGGAAAAAAAGATATTTGTAGAGGTAGAGAATGGAATCAAGGGTAAGAAAACAGCGATAATGATAAAGGGATGCTAATTTAGCAATCGATTGTATATTTTGTTTACATGAAAGGTTAGTAGCAAATAATATTCCAAGAAGATTTAAAAAAGAGGACTCAGTAAGAGGGTTACCATTAATTAATATAGGAATGTCGACAGTATTGTGGTAGTTGTTTGCAGTAAATAACTGAGTTTTGTTGGAAATAAAATTTATAAGCTAATTTAAGCCTCAATCTGTGAACAGATAAGGGGTCGCATATTTTAAAAGTCTTCTCTTTTTGATCGCTTAGAACAGGCAGCCAATTTTGTATCAACAGATACAAAATTGGCTCCCTGTTCTAAGTGATCAAAAAGAGAAGACTTTTTGTCAAGACAGGAGTAAAAACTTGAGTCATCAGCAAAAAGAGTTACTATAGATGTAGGGTTGTCGGGAAGATCAATAATGTAGATAAGAAACAAAACAAGACCAAGAATAGAACCTTGAGATACCCCAGAAGTTACTGGAAATAAATAAATAGGCCTTGACGATAATTATAATAAAGAAGTTAGAAAGAAATGATTTAATAATCCCAGATACACAATTTAAAGTCTAATTTAAGTTTAATTGTTCAATATTTAGTTCATACTTAAGCTCATTTTATATTCAACAGGTCCCTATATTGTTTAAATGGTCTCTAAAATGTTTTATTAAAAAGTCAACTTATTACTCAAATAAAGAGAAATTTTATATAAAACTTTTCTGAATTAGAATCTAAAAATAGATTAATACAAAAAATAACCACACCACATTAACAACACTGAGTAGTGATTTTTAAAGCACTATAATATCTATCTGATATATATATATATATATATATATATATATATATATATATATATATATATATATATATATATATATATATATATATATATATATATATATATATATATATATATATATATATATATATATATATATATATATATATATATATATAAGAGAAAGGATATCTTTAAATTATTAAGTAAATTTTTTTTCTTGTTGGTAATCAACAGGAAAAACAAAAGGAATTATGATTAGGCTCTCCAAACAGGGGGCAGAAAGCCTTAGTCACCCATTTATTTAAACCTCTGAACCAAATTAATAAAATGGAAAAAGATAAACAATTCTTTTGCCATAAGATTATGTCTAAAAATTGAACTTAAAAAACAGAGCATATTAAAGAATCTTGCAAGTGTTCTGATATAGTGTTATATCAAAATATGTAGATGAATAAATAATGCAATTAGAAAAAAATAAAAATGCTGTTAAAAATTAATTACAAATAAATAAATTACAAATCATCAGGTGAATGGGGTCTGGGAAACTCCATAAATAATAATAATAAGAAAATTTTTAAATTTTCCTTGAAATTAAGTTCAGTATAGGGTTTTTTTTAAATATGGGCATACTAGCAATATTTATTTTTTTGATATAACAAACAAGCAATGTAAGACTTAATTACTACATAATATACAAATGCTTAATTAAGTTAATAATCTTGATAGATTGCTTATTTTTTTGAGCATTCGAAGTCTGATATTATATTTGCATGGTATTATACATTAATATACTTACATTATCAAAATTAAAATGGTAACTTTTATAGAATAAGAATAGTTTTTATATATAATGAGAGTATCACAGTTGATAGTACAACAAAACAAAAAATAAAGATTTTCATACAGTATGCCTAGATATATAACTTACTTAAAGCTAATTAATATTTTTTATAAAAAATTTATGTTTAATTGGTGTTTATACATCTAATTGTGCCTTTAATGGCCAAATACTAAAATGATACTAGAGTAAAGGAAAACTATTCCAAAATTTATGTCAAAAAAAAACTGAAAAATTGTTAAAAAAAAGTAATACAACACCAAAAAAACCAAAAAAACACCAAAAAAACGCCAAAAAAACCAAAAAAACACGTTTTTTTGACCCAAAAAAACGCCAAAGGAAAAAAACGCGTTTTTTTGCAACTCTACCCATAATACACTTAACAAATGGTCTAACTAGGGCATCACATATGATAACAGCAAGATTGATTTTGTACTCAATATTTTCATAGATAAAACCAACTTTGAACTCTATCTAAAAATTATCTTGATAATCAAAAACAGAATTAGGCTTTTGGGCACTACTTTTCACAAATCACTCTAGTTTCCATTGCTTAAGTCATATCTCAATTAAACTCTTCTACTGCTTGTGGTCCAGACAACATTTCTATCATAGTCTTACGAAAGTGTACTCCAGAGCTTTTTTCTAAACTATTTAATAAATGCGTGAATAAATCATACCTGAAAATCGCCAAATGGCAATTGTTCTAATTTTCAAAAACTCAGGTGATCATTTTTAATTTGTTTTAATCGATGCTAACTTTTTATTTATTTTTATTTTAATTCACCTCCTCAAGGCCGAGAAGGCCACTACAGACGAGGAGGCTACTTATTTGTGGTTATAACCCTCTCTCAACTCTATAACTCCAAAACACGAACCTTGATGAACAAGGCCGCTGCGCGGAGAAACGAGTTGAGCAGGGTACTACTAGGGGCGTGGTGGGGATCGAACTCGGAACCACTCGTTTATGAAGCGAGCGCTCTACCACTACACCACTACCGCATTTCAACTTTGCAGTAGATTCAATATTTTAAGAGCTTAATAGGAATAGATAATGTAATAAGAAACAAAGATGAATTACATAAAATAAAAGACTCAGTGTTACAATTCATAATTATAGAAATACCAAAAAACACTGCAATAATTATTAGCAATAACCAAATTTTGTCTGGGTATATTGGTCACTGCAAGCTTTAGGTTGTTAAAATGAGGAGATCACATTCTGTGATAAAAATATCAAAATTTTGAAAACTATCAAAAAATACCTTTAATAAAAAACAATAAGAAAAAAAAAAAAATTCTTTAAACTTAAGTTATATCATTTAACTTGAGAATTTAGTCAAAGCTCACAAGATTGTTAGCCAAAGTTCACAAGATTGTAAGCCAAAAAAAAAAGCTCACAAGATTGTTAGCCAAAAATCACAAGTTTTGTAATGAGCCTGGTGGAAAAATAGGAGGATTTAATTTTTATAATGAATAAACAATTTTTTTTTGGATAAAACCACAATTAAAAATAAATAAATAATTAAAAATAAAAAAAATATTACCACAGACAGATTCATGTAAGTAAGCATGTTTTTTGAAACAAATCATTTGTTGATGGTTTGTATAACTTCTTTGTTTTTCTGTGCCTCTAAACAATAATGGTAGTAAATATACAGTAAACTTATATACAGTACGTTTATGTTATTTAAAAAGAGTTTTTATTTAATAACTGAAATTTTTATAAACTAAAATATATATATATATATATATATATATATATATATATATATATATATATATATATATATATATTAGTATTAAATTATATTTGTAATATTAATTAAAATTACAATTAAAGCTACACGGTACAGATATGAACCGTAAGTTCATCATTAGCTAGCAAGCTAGCTTGTATAGCTGCGATAATAGAGCCACGGAAAATGATGCATTTTGGTAACTTTGTGAGTTGCTGGTCTAGGGGCATTGACAACATCATCTGGCAGAGCATTCCAAGTATTTGCAACCCAATTGTTGAAAAAGTTGAGTCTAACGAGGCAGTTGCTATTAATTTCGCAATGAATGCATTTGCAATGACCATAGATGGGAGGAATGTATATTGGGTCAATATGCCAGTTGATTATTTCAGTTTTATTTTCAATTTTGAATTTTTGGATAAGGTCACCACATTTTCTTCTGTCACTTAGTGAAGTTAGTCCAAGTATATCTTGCATGAGCCATAATTGGGTCCAATTGACAATATTATCAATGTAAGCATGCAGACCAAGTTTGCTTTCAAAAGTATTAACTACACTGAGGACTTTTGTATCATCTGCGTACATTTTGCATTTATTTTTGCTGCTAATGTGTTCTGGTAAGTCACTCATAGAGACTATAAATAGTGTTGGACCAAGAAATGCGCCCTGAGGAACGCCACTAGTAACCTGTTTCCAATCGGATGCAACATTACTAAGGAGGACACGTTGTGTTTTGTTAGAAAGAAAGGCATTAATCCAATTTAAAACATTTCCACTAATTTCATAAGATTCAAGCATTTTTAGTAACCTTTTGTGAGAAACTTTGTTAAATGCTTTGGCAAAATCGCAAAATAAGGCATCAACAGGTAGCTTTTGTGATGCAGTGTAAGTCAACAAGTCCATAGTTTCAAGTAAATTTGTAGTACATGATTTTTTGCTGACAAATCTGTGTTGACATTGGGAGAGAAGATCGTTAGATAATAAGTGATGCATGACCCTATCTTTAACCAGTCTTTCCTATACATATATATATATATGTATATATATATATATATATATATATATATATATATATATATATATATATATATATATATATATATATATATATATATATATATATATATTTGTATATATATATATACATATATATAGATATACATACATATATATAAATATATATATATATACAAATAAATATACATATACATACATATATATAAATATATATATATATATATACATATATATACATATATATATATACATATATATACCTATATATATACATACATTTATATTTATATATATGTATATATATGCATATTTATATGTACATATTTATATATATATTACATATATATACATATTTATATTTGTATATATAAATATATATATACATATGTTTATATATGTTTATATATATGTTTATATATATATATATATATATATATATATATATATATATATATATATATATATGGATATATCTTATACTGCTGAGTTAGGTGACCATGATGATATCATACTAAAATAGCCTGCTGCTGGGGGCTTCAGTACATACATCGACTGACAAATAGCCTGACTCGCAGTGGAGTGCTGCTACATCGACATATATATATATATATATATATATATATATATATATATATATATATATATATATATATATATATATATATATATATATATATATATATATATGCTGGAAAAGAAAATAATAATCTAATTGTAGATTTAAAAATAATAAAAGAAAAAAATAATCTACTTGTAGATTTGAAAATTATTTGTGAATTCATAGTATATTTTTACGCAAAGAAATACCTTTAAGCACATAAAGCAATTCAATCTTCTGCTTTGTATCTTGATGCAATCTTTCACATAAAAAAGTAGAAAAATGTTTGCTCCAATCTGGAGGCAGTTGATGCTGTGGTAGTATCTCTTTATAAGCATACATGCTATCTTGATTCAACAACTGTTCCCTCAGTAATTTTGTAAACCGTAACTTCAGTAACTTTTAAACCGTATATCAAATCCATTGCAAAATTAGCATCTGCTAAGGTTGCATCTTTTTATCGAGCTCAACACTTTCTTACTCCAGATTCTATTCTCTATCTCTATAAATCTTAAATTCAGCCTTGTATGGAATACTGTTGGCAGATCTTCTAATGATGCCCTTTCTCTTTGGAACAAGTTGCAAAAACGCATTGCAAACATAGTTGGACCTGCTCTTGCAGCAAACCTTCAACCATTATCACATCGTCGCAATGTAGCTACTCTTTCTCTTTTATACAAATACTATAATGGGCACTGCTCTAAAGAGGTAGCCTTTCTTGTGCCATCTACTAAAATTCATTCTTGTGTTACTCATCATTCAATTAAGTCTTATCCTTTTTCTGTTACTGTTCCTAAGTGCTCCAAAAACTCCACTAGTTTTTTTCCTCGAACATCAGTTCTTTGGAATTCGCTTCCTTCATCTTGCTTTCCTGATTCGTATAATTTGCAATCTTTTAAGTCGCCTGTCAATCGTTATTTTGCTATACAATCTTCATCTTTTCTCTTCCAGTAACTTCCAACTCTAATTAGTGGTTGTTTGCAGTCTTGTTGGAAGCGAAGATGTTTAAAAAAAAAAAAAACTCTTAACATGCCTGCAAGCAACTATTAAGTTAAGAGTTACTAAAATAAAAAAATAGAGTTATAGAGCAAGGAATTGGTTAACAGAAGACTTAAAGGTTGTATGAGTCAGGAAAACATGAGTTCAGAAAACAAACAGAGTTCAAAAGGGTTGATGTGCGGACAGAGTTCAAAAAGGTTGATGTGTGGGGAAAAAAATAAACAAATAAAAGAGCATACAAGGACAGATACAGTAAAGCAAAATGAGTTTTAGTTGATAGAACTAGAGATAATAGCTCCAATGAGTAGCAACTATGAGTATTTGTAGAAAAAAGAAAAGAGAAATTTATGATGATGGGAAAGAGGCTCAAGTTTAGCAGACAGACCGGGTCCAACTACATTTACAATGCATTTTTGGACCTTGTCTAAAAAAGAAAAAGCATCACTAGAAGAACCAGCCAAAATATGACAACAGTATTCTATACAGGGATGAATAAGGGAATTGTAGAATGGAATCAGGAGCGAGAAAATGACAAGCACGATAAAGAGAGGCAACCCTAGCAGATGTTAATTTAGCAATCGATTGTATATATGTTTCCATGAAAGGTCAGTAGTAAACGATAATCCATGAAGACGTAAAAAAGAGGACTCAGTGACAGGATTGCCATTCAATTCAGATTCAACAGGGGCTGCCTGTTCTAAGCGACCGAAAAAAAAAGACTTTTTGTCAAGACAGGAGTAAAAAGTCGAGTAATTAGCAAAAAAAGCTACTTTAGATGTAAGATTGTCGGAAGAGCATTAATAAAGATAAGAAACAAAACAGGACCAATGATAGAACCTTGAGGTACCCCAGAAGTTACTACATATTGTTTATCTTACTGTTGAATGCACTCCTTATAGCATTGAAAAAATTAACAAAAGATTAATTTTTTAAACATTTTTTTAATTTACTTCTATTTATTTTTTTGGTTATACCTGGTTAGCACTTCATGGCGTACTGAAATAACCAGCAGTTGCACAGAAAGAACAAAAAAGAATTTAAGAAAATTATCTAGACATTTAAGTACACTTTTGACAGCTTTTTTGAATTTTTTTTGAAAGTTTTTGGTTTTCTGACTGAACTTTGCTTTAATTTTTGTTTACCTTTTTCACACTATATTTCATCTTTTTGTAAATCAACTCTATTTTACAAGTTAAAGTAATAAAATACTACACGTATTGCAACTTTTTACACTATATGTTCTTTCTCAGAATTCTTTTTTACAATTTATGTACTATACAAGATGTATTGCTACATGTATAATATATACCTAGTGCTACAGTTTTGAAATTTGCAGAATTAAACAGCTATTGATCAGTATCTGAAATACAACATGAATTTTCAAAAACAAATAAGAACTTAAAATAAGAGTTACTGTTTGAAAAAAGTGACTCATATTCCAGTACTGATCTCCCCTACTATTTTAATTTAACAATCTGAGCTACTGTTATTACTGATCTCCCCTACTTTTGAAAATAAGACAAGAAAACTAGAAAATAAAATTTTCAAAACTAAATATTACAATTTATTAACAAAAATAATATTATTAATATTGCTGAACAATTTCTTAAGTGAGTAATTGGAATTTAATTACGATGTGATTAAATTTTTACTGTAGATGGGGCCATTAAATGAAGTTGCCATGGTTCTTAGATGATATGCCACTGATCCCATCATAAAACTTTTTTATATTTAAAATTTAACAGAAAAAAATCTGAAATAAAGAATTTTACTAAAAGATAACACAGAAACGAACAAAATACAAGTTAGTGATCTTAAAAAAAAAATTTTTTGGAAATTTTTGGTTCTTCGAAATCAGCGGTTACTAGACTGGTAGTTTTTGGACTGAAAAACTATTTTATTATTTCAGTTTACAACATTTTAAAAAGCCTAAAACAAATTGGTTATAGTTTTTAATAAAACATCACTTAATTAAATACTAGCTTAAATATAATCATGAATTTTTTCAATAGACCATAACAATAGCACAACACTTAAGTGTTATTAATGTTATATATATATATATATATATATATATATATATATATATATATATATATATATATATATATATATATATATATATATATATATATATATATATATATATATATATATATATATATATATATATATATATATATATATATATATATATTTACAAACTGTATTGCTGTATTGCCTTGTACTTTTACACATGCAAAGTTTAGAAGATTTTTATGCCAATGCATAAAATTTTTGTCTGAAGATATAACAACTTACTTATACCTAAATAAATTAATTATATAATTATATTAATTATAATTAACTATATAATATGTATAATTTATAACCAAAACTGTTTAAAATCTGCTTAAATATACATTGATTAGAAAAATTGATTAGAAAAAAGAACAATTCAAGATCACAAAAGATGATTTTACAAAACATGATGATTATAAAATATTATTTTTTAATCAAAGTAAATAATTTTCTGCGTGTTAATAATCCAATAGCCATAAGCTGTTAATAATCCAATAACCCTAAGCTGTTAATAAACCAATGGTTACAACAAATAGCTACAAGGCTAAAATCTTAAAACATTGTTTTTATCTGAAATAAATGGCTAAAAGCTTATTCCTGAAACATTGTTTTTATCAGCTAAGACCTAAGCAGATAAAAAACTATTCAAAAGGTACAAATGATATTTTACAAACAATTATATACAGATAAAATAACTTTTGTAATCCTAGTCTAAAATCTTTGGTGTGATTCATGATGGTATGGTGTGATTTGTGATGGTATGGCGTGATTTGTGATAGTAAGGCATGACTCGTAATGGTATGGCGTGATTCGTGATGGTATGGCGTGATTTGTGATGCTATGGCATGATTCCTATGGAATTCTAATAAACTTTAAATTTTTAATTACATTTGTAGATCTTTGGAAAAATCTTTATCGCTGGAAAGCTGTAGAAATTCAAGTAAAATATTTGGAATGTCCATTTGAACTTCATTTAATACAGCCTAAAAAAATAAAAAAATAATTTATAATAATACATAAATGATATATTAAAAAAATACACCTTTTTTATTTAAAAAAAAAATACAACACCCTTTTTAAATAACTTTTAACTACTGACAAATTTAAAATCATTCTACACAAAAATTACTGGAAAAAAATAATTTAGGTAACTTTTACACACAGTTTAAATGGAAACATTATTACCTGCAAAAACAATTCTAGCATCTCCCTTCTCATTTCTAATAAGTTTTTATCTTTATTTAAAACTCTTTTTGGAGGAAACGCAAACTTTATATTTAAAACCTTTTGAAGCTAAATAACAAATAAATAAAATAAAAACTGCTAAAAATCTCTAAATAAAAATACTCTTAATAATAATAACAAATATTAATAACTATGATGATTTCAATAAATATATATAACATATTATAATAAATATAATACAATAACAATACATATATTGTATTAAACAATATATATATATTGTATTATGCAATATATATTAGGGTGGTGCTTAAAACGACTTTTTTGAGAAAAACCTGCTGGTACCCCCCTAAATGTGTTTTATCTAATACAAAAACACTAGGTTTAAAATTTTTTTGAACAAAAATTATTTTTAGGGGTAGCTCAAGGCCCTCAAAAATTTGACGGGTCCCTAATATTTTGAAAAAAAAACTTTTTCTAAAGTATGTCAACCTGGTACTCAAAAGAAGCGATATTATATAAAAACTTTAAAAATAAAAATAATTTTACATAAAAAACATGCCTAAAAAACTTATTCTTAAAAAACCTTAAAATATTGACTTTTTTCATTTTCAGCTTAAAAACAATAGTTTTTATGCATTTATACCTGAAAAAATTATTTTTATAAAAAATTATTTTTATAAAAAATTATTTTCATTTTTAAATTTTTTATATAATTTTGCTTATTTTGAGTACCAGGTTGACATACTTTAGAAAAAGTTTTTTTTTTCAAAATATTAGGGACCCGTCAAATTTTTGAGGGCCTTGAGCTACCCCTAAAAATATTTTTTGTTCAAAAAAATTTTAAACCTAGTGTTTTTGTATTAGATAAAACACATTTAGGGGGTACCAGCAGGTTTTTCTCAAAAAAGTTGTTTTAAGCACCACCCTAATATATATATTCTATATATATTTTTATTTTGATTAATGCTTTTATATACGATTAACAAATAAATTCTATTTATAATTTATATAATATATATATATATATATATATATATATATATATATATATATATATATATATATAAATTATATATGATAACTAAACTTTAACTATATTGCATTATAACATTTATTACAACTATTAAACATTTATTTCATCTTTTTGTACTCATTTTAACTGAAGTAAATTAATAAACCTAAAACGTATAAAGTATAGAATTCTTGTGAGGCTTTAAAAATATATTTGGTAGTAACACATTGTTTTGCACACATTATAAATGTTTTGCAAAACAAAACATAACAAATAAATTTATAATTATAAATTTATTAATTATAATTAACTATAAAATAGTATAAAATAATTAAATAACAATAATATACTAATAAATATGATAATATAACTCAATATCATAAAAATATAAGAATTGTGAAAGTGACTTTTTTTTTTTTTTATTTGCATTCACTCCCAACAGGGCTGCAAGCAACCACTATTAAGTTGGGAGTTACTAGGAAAAAAAGAACAGACTAATAGAGACTTATGTTTACTAATGTGTGCATTTGATCAATTAAAAAAGACCTATCGTCTTAATTAGTTGTAAAAACTACCGTTATTATCGTTAGCATAATTAGTAGTAAAAACTACCATATTTATAAGTAAAAATTAGCATAATTAGTAGTAAAGTCAAATTTAGTATAATTAGTAGTAAAGTCAAATTTAGTATAATTAGTAGTAAAATTTAGAATAATTAGTAGTAACGTAAAATTTAGAACAATTAGTAGAAAATTAAAAGTTAGTATAATTAGTATAATAGCTCTAGCCATCAAATCTGCTGGTAAATCTTTATGTCTTCTGTCAGTTGCCAGTAATTTCTTATCTCATTGGAACTATTTAAACTTTTTTTTCTAAAATCTAGGTAATGTTTTTTTCTGTAATGTTTGCTCGTTATTTCCTTCTTCTCAAGACTGCACTCTTTTAGATCAAATTGAACAGAAGATCATCTTTCAAGATCATCTTTCTGATCAAATTGAACAGAAATACCCTTTCTCTTTATCGCTCTGCCAATACATGGAAGGATACTATGAGATTACTAAACTATTACTTTCTGATCACAGTATTAAAGTAATCCTTGAAGACCAATACTCTGCCTCATTTCCAGTAAAATCTCTTATTCGTCAAATCTTTTAATTGTCTCTGTATGGAATACTGTTGACATACTTAGGCTTGTTCTTCTAATGATGCTTTTTCTCTACTAGAAAAGTTCCAAAAAATGCATTGTAAACATAGATGGACTTGCTTTATCTGCTAAGCTTGAGCCACGCTGCCATCCTCATAAGGTAGCATCGCTTTATCTTTTCTACAAATACTATTTGGTTACTGCTAAAAGGAGCTATTTAGACCCCGGTGGAAGAAGACTCAAACCAAAAAAAATGTCCCAGGGTCATGTTATGTTTATGGATCTGTACTAACTTCTAATTTCAGAAAATAAAACCAATGAAAAAAATTTCGGGGTCCAAGAAAAAACAATGTATTTTTGTAAACCAAATAGACTAGTATTTTACCTTGTATGCTCAATAAATTTTTTGTTTGATTATGAATTTTTTGAAGACTAGTACATATTTTAAAAGCTTTAAAATGTTCACAATAGGCAGGAAAAAATTTTAATATGTTTTTTTTGTGTCAACACTTATTAAGAACATATATGTTATGTTTGGTATTCTTGTTTATAGAAAGGAGAATAAGTGTTGGTTTCTCTTAAACATTTATTTATATATATGTATTGAATTAAATACATATATGTAAATAATTATTACAATATAGTTTTCTCATATTGTTATTTCAACTCTAATTGAGTCTAGTACTACGGCTTTTATTCCATTTAAGTAAAAATTCTTTGTATGGAATTAATCTCTGAGGGAATAGCTTATCATTAGCAATCATTCATACATAGATCGATCATATAGATAAGTTATTATAGAGTTTTTCATATAGTTCTCTAAAGGATAATGTTTGTGTTGCAATTGTTATTCTAAACGAGTGTTACAAATGACTGAGGTAATTAATTTTGTAACAATTATTACAATATATTTAGAGAATCCTATGAAAACTGACCACAAAAGTCAACCAATAAACCCAATATTTCCTTCAATATATTCACCAAACTCTAGATTTTGTGCCACAAGTACTTGTGGTACAAAATGTAGAGTTTGTCCAATACATTGCCTAATCAGACATTAAACTACGAAGCTAACCGAAATATGTTGGCGCTTGGAGAAAGACAAAACGATTAGAAAAGTAACTCAACAATTAAAAAAATAACTCATAAATAAAAAAGCCCAACCTATAGAAGACATCAAAATTATTTTATCTCAAATTTAGAGTTGGCTTAGGAACACCCTTCTGGTATCTGTTCGTGCAACAGTAAATTTCCTGGGCTCATTGAAAAAGGTAAAAAAAAACCTGAAGCTCTTCCAGCACCATATGATTTTTCTGGAACAAGAATTTCCATTATTACAAGAATGTGAATGTGCAGTTTGTACTGTTGCAAGAAAAACTCCCTAGGATCAGGAAAAAAAACAGAAAAAAGAAAAACGAGTATCCATTGAATATAAAACGGAAACTGTTTGAAGTGAATGCTGGTGATTCAATAAAGATTGCTAACAAAGGGCCTAAACTTTTTAATATTGAAATTCCAAAAAAAAACAGAGCTGAAAGCCCGTTTTCCTGAAAACAAGATTCAAAAATATACTATGGTTAAGCAACTCTCAAACAGAAACTGTGTTTTTTAAGTTATCGCGTAATACTAAGTGTTCTTAGGAGTTGGAAAAGGAGAGAGTTTTTTGAACCCAATCTAAAACAAAAAACTAATTTGTCAAGACTGTGTTTTGATGTTGCAGAACTTCAAATCAATAAGCAAACAAAATATTTAGTTTACTGTACAAATGTGTTTGATCAAATAAATCAACTAGTGGAAAAAAGAGAAGTATCCCCAGATTGTATTGTAATATTATATTGGAATAGATGGGGGAGGAGGATTTTTAAAGGTTTGTTTAAGTATTTTTGATTGTGAAGTGAATGAACCTAAAACCAAGTTCTCGTACAGAGATGGAATAAAGCAAGACAAATTCAAGGACGGAGGAGTTAAGAAACATCATTTTGACTATTGTTGAAAATGTTAAAGAGAATTAATAAAACATAGAAGTAAGAAGTATTTTTTAGCATTTGACATGAAACTTGCAAATATTTATTTTGGCATTGAAGCAGCTTCTTCAACTCACCCCTGCAGTTAATGTGAATTGTCAACTGATTTATAAGGCCAAGATTGCACGTTAGCCAGTTCAAGGGAGGACAGTGTTCAAAGCTATTAGATAACATAGAAGTTTGAAATTTTACCTGATAAATTGAAAGTGCTTATGCATGTAATGAAAGCACTAAATAATGTAAAGAAAACTTGCTTTGGTCTAAGTTTGGACATATCTTATTGGAATCACATCAATGCCTACATTAAAGCATATATGGCATTAAACAAAAAAGTATCCCAAATGTACATGTTATAGTCATCCGTGTACCAACCTTTTTTGAATCATCGGCTGACAAATACTGTGGAAAAGGTCCTGGTTTTTTGTCAGAACAGGCTTCTGAATCTGTTGATTATGACAATCAAAAGTGCTAAGATCAGTTATTGTTTATAATAGTAGACAGGAACATTTCAATTTTAAAGGAGACATTTATGTTTTTAGAAGACTTGTACATATTTTTAATCTTATATTTGTAATTCATATGTATTTAAATATCAAAGGTAAATATGAAAGTGTCAATATGGTTTTATTTGTCATAGGAAATAATTAAACAGCTATTTAAAATATAAATAATCTATTTTTTAAACTCCTTATAAATTATTTATTAAATATTCTATTTTTTAACCTCCTGATGATGAGCTTAATCAATGCATTAGAATTGTTTTTTAACATTAAGGAATAAAATTATTTGAAACGTTTGTTCAATAACTAAGTAACCATAATTTATATAAGAACATATTCCCACCAAATATCTGTCTATTGTGAACATATTCCCATCAAAAATATGTCTATTGTGAATATTTTAAGGCTTTTAAAATATGTAATAGTCTTGGAATAATTCATGATCAAATAAAATATTTATTGTATATATAAGGAAAAATACTGGTTTTTTGTTTTATTTACAAATATATATTTTTTTTCCTTTGGATCCTGAAATTTTTTTGCCTTAGGGTTATTTTCTGAAAGTAGAGGTCCTCATCACATGACCCTGGGACATTTTTTTTGGTTAGAATCTACTTTTACCGGGGTGTGTATGGTCTCTAGTTCTATCAACTAATTCTCGCTTGATTGTCATTTAACAAAGTCACATCCTTTTATTGTATCTATTCTTTCATGCTCTAAAAACTATTATTTATTTTGCTTTTTTCCTTAGCAATTCAATGCTTTGAAACTCCCATTTTCATGTTTTCCTGATTCATACAACCTTTAACTTTTTAAGCCTTCTATCCACCATTTGCTTTCTCTTTCACTGTATTCTTTGTTTTCTAGTAACTCCCAACTTAATAGTAGTTATTTTCAGCCTTGTTGTAAGTTGCTGTAAGTTGTTGTAAGATTAGAAAAAAACAAGCCTTTTCACTTAGTGTACTGGTTCATGTGTAGGATGTAGGATAATTTTAGGTTCATGTGTAGCTGTCTTCAATTTTTATGTTGCGCCATTTGCAAACAAAAACTTTAACACAACTGTCATAAATCTTCTTTGTATTTTCAGTCCTTTTTTTGAATTTTTGCTATCAAAGCACTACCTATTCTATTGTTTCTATTTGTTCCTCAAGCCATGAAACCTTTCTCTGAAACAATTTTATCAACTTGCCACTTATTAAAAAGCTGTCAAAATAAATATTGTCAAAATAAAATTTGTGAAATTTTAAACTATTTTTTTTTCAATACTATTTTTTTTTCAATGTGTATCTGGAATAACTTGTTCACCTAAGATATAATGATGCAATGCTCATAGTATTTGAAACAAATGGAACATTTAGGTCTGGTTGATTAGGTCTGGTTGAAAAACCAATGGTCTGGTTGATTAGGTCTGTTCTGGTTTCTTTCTACTGTCAAAAAATTACTTCAATACAGGCATTTGATTGAGTCTCTCTGGCAAAACACAATTCAAAGCATCTACAACTTCAGGGAACTGGAAGATATTTGTTAGCTTATGATGAAGTACAAGCTGTTGATGTTGACATTGTAGATATATATGGCTTAGTTTGAGTTGGCTGATACTTCTCATCTTCTTCTGATTCTGAATTAGATGTCAATGAAGAAAGTTCTTTTTTTTTTCATTAATGTCTTGTGTTATGCGTTCTTTATATCTCATTTTCTCCTTTCTCCTAATCTAGAAAAAATAAAATTCCAAAAAATTTTTTCATGTTAATGACATCAAAAGCAAGATAATTCTTATTTCTAAAATCTATTGTAAATGTCATTAGTAAAATATAGCTTCTATATTTTGTAGCAAGGCTTTTCTAACAAAACAGGTTTTGATAAGTCAGCTACCTTTGTTCATCTTGAATCAAAACATCTTCTACATGAGAATAATATTGTTTATCTAAAAAAAATATAGAAAAATGAAATTTCAATTCAATGGTAGGTTCTATTAATTCATCTGACAGCCCATCACAGTATTTCTTCACTTGGTATCATCTTGATCCCACTAACAAAAGAAAAAAAAAACTGTTGCTACAATATTGTTAATTTTCAAAAATCCAAACATTTTTCTCAAAGTAACCATTTCATTCCATAAAACATTGTGTTCCAAATAAGGTTGATAATTTCTATAACCTTATAAAATAAGTTATTACCTTTAATTATAATCTAGTTTGATAATTTTTTTGATAATGTTTTTCAACTAGTTTTATCATTTTTTTAAAAACTGCAATAATAATGACTACAAAGTTTTTTTAATTAATAGTGTTTTTTTGTTTTTTTTTTAGAGTGTTGCTACATCAACTATCTTATAGCCTGATGCTTCAAGAAAGTGCAGCTACATCAACTGAGGGTTTGGTTAGGGCAAGCAATCTATCATTTTTAAAAAACCTTATTTAAGTTTTTAAACTTTTTATTCAAAAATTTTATTCAAAACTATTTATTAATCAAGGTAATTTTATTATAAAATTTCCTAACTTTACAATATTTTTTCATTATTAAAATTACACTTTTTTTTCTAATAATCAAGGCAGTCATAAAAATTTCAGTTTTTAAAAAGTACCCAGCATGCATTTTTGTAGAGATTTTTGTTGACCTGTAACTGATGTCCAGATGTTGTTATGGTGATGCATGCTGATAGTTAAATGCACAGATAAAATCTTAACAATAGCGCAGTTTTAAAATAAGCATTTGTCAAAACAGATTTACATCAAGTTACTTTTTTCTTACAACAGATTGAGTTGAGTGTTATATTTACTTTATCAACATTAATATTTATTAACTGTCCATGTTTGTAAAAGAAATTCAAAAGTCATTGGAGCATGCAAAAAGAAATAATAGTTTTCTATAAGAAATATAGTTAAAAATGCATAAGTTAAATATAAATAATTATTTTCTATACAAAATATACAGGTATATATACTGATACTTGGTATATACATTTTGTGGTATATTTGTATAAATGTATATTAAAAGTATTAAAAATTGACAATTGAAAACAAAACAAAGTGCTAATAATTTTTATAAATAAAAGTTACAAATAATTATATAAAATTTCAAATTTAAATATAAGAGATAATGCCTTTTTATGCAAATATAAGAGATAATACCTTTTTATGCAAATCATAAAATTCACTATAACGTTTTTGCAAATTTATAACTTTCCCATTATGAATAACTTCAACACAGTATACCTAATAAAAAGTTTACATATTAAAGACTGATTTATGGATCCCTTTATGGATGCATTATATGCATACAATCTTATTATATTTAATATAATGTATACACACACAAATATATAATATATAATATATTTGTGTGTGTGTTGTATATATACATACATACATATACAGTGCTGGCCAAAAAGATCCGACCACTAAGGTTTTTAGACAGAAACGTAATACCACTTCAATTTAATGATAATATGATTGAATTAAACGCAACAAACAACATTCACATAAGTCAATGACACACTTTCGAAGAAACCAACAAGTAGTTCACATCAGAAAAGAGTTTCTAGTACCTCGAATGTCTTCCTCCGGCTTTGAGGACAGCTTCTATTCTTCGAGGCATAGAGGCAACAAGAGAGTCACAGTAATCAGGCGTTATTTTTTGGGACCACGCCTCCAGTATAGCCTCCTTCAAAGTTGTCGCAGACGTCGAGTTTGCTTTTGCCACTTCTGCTTTCAATTTTACCCAGCAATTTTCAATCGGGTTTAAATCCGGTGACGAGCCAGGCCACGGAGCAAGAACATTGATGGAATTCTCTTGAAACCATGTCTTGACGATCTTTGCCTGATGACATGGCGCGCCGTCATGCATAAAGATGTCACAGTTGCGAGTTCTGAGCCAAATAGGAACATTTTCCTTTATTATTTGCAAATAATTAACAGCTTTGATAGTTTCACCTGGCGGCATGAGATAGATTCCCGCTCGACCTCTGGCAGTAATTGCTCCCCAAATCATAATTGCAGGGCAATGTTTTACCGCTGGAGCAACATATCGGGCATTGTAGCGTGTGTTTGGTGGCCGTCGAACATTCACTTTATGCGTAGCAAATTGTTTCACCTGCGATTCGTCTGAGAACATGACACGTCGCCACATTGCCACGGTCCAATTTTTATGTGCTTTACAAAATTTGAGGCGGTCACGAATATTTTTCTGAGATAGTCGTGGTTTTAATGCAGCGCGATACGATCGAAGACTGAAATCGTCCACAAGACGTCGCCGAATGGTGCGAGAGCTCACATTCACATCAGGAGGCAGTTCATTGAGAATTTGTGAAGATGATGCCAGTGGGTCCTTCGTGGCTGCACGGCGGATCATAGCGTCAGTTTTTGATGTGGTACATCTCGGTCTGCCACTGGATCTTCCTGCAGCGCTGGTGCCTGTTGACTTGATGTGCTGAATGACGTCGTGAACAGTTGTCTTAGGCATTTGTAAACGTGCGGCAATCGCACGTTCAGACTTCCCGTCTTCCATCAAAAGTTGTATTTTAGCACGTTTTCCAGGTGATGTTGTCGCCATAGTCAAATGCAAATAGTAATTCACAGCTACGCATGCGATGGTATATATAACAATGGTACAACTGTTTTGATTGGCTGATAACTAGCCAATCACGCATGCAAAGCGTGATGGTGAAATTCCGAGGAAAGCGCCTACACTACAATGTACATACTGTATACATAGATAAACAATGCGTGGTCGGATCTTTTTGGCCAGCACTGTATATATATATATATATATATATATATATATATATATATATATATATATATATATATATATATATATTTTTGTTTTTATTATTATTTTTTTAAATAGTATTATTATTATAACCATTTGATGTCACTTCTTTGATCAGTTTTCTGCATAAGTAATATATATATACAATCCTCGGAATTAGGAAAATATACAACCCTCGGAATTAGAAAAAACAATCTTTTAGAGGTTGGCATCAGGTCCGCAAATACAAAGGTCTCACCATAAAATATCGAAACAAGGTCGGCAAAACCAAATTTTTTTTGCCGACCGCACACACGTTTAGGTCGGCAGTTAGGTTAGCATTGCCGAATGCCAATCCAATTCTGAGGGTTGTATATATATGTATGTGTATATATATATATATATATATATATATATATATATATATATATATATATATATATATATATATATATATATATATATATATATATATATATATATATATATATATATATATATATATATATATATATATATATACTATATACACTTATATATATATATACATATATATATATATATATATATATATATATATATATATATATATATATATATATATACTCTTGCATGGTAGTTGAAAAGAGTTTCCCATAAACTGTAGTTTTAAAGAGCGCGTTAATAAACCAGACCAGAAAAAGTTTAAAAACTTAAATTTTTTTTTTTTTAAATGATAGACTGCCTGCCCAAACCAAACCCTCAGTCGATGTAGCAGCACTCCCTTGCGAGTCAAGCTATTTGTCAGTCGTTGTAGCAGCACTCCCTTGCGAGTCAGGCTATTTGTCAGTCGATGTAGCAGCACTCCGTTGCGAGTCAGGCTATTTGTCAGTCGATGTAGCAGCACTCTGTTGCGGGTCAGGCTATTTGTCAGTCGATGTAGCAGCACTCCGTTGCGAGTCAGGCTATAAGATAGTCAATGTAGCAACATTTACGCATGTTTTAAAAATGTTTTTTAATAAAATAAAAACAAAAACATCACTAATAAAAAAAAACTTTCTAGTCGTTATAATTGCGGTTTTTTAAAAAATTTTTAAAAAACAATAAAATTTAATGTACTTCGCATTAACTTAATTGCTTTGACATTTCGACAACAATCAAATACAGCTTAAGAGACGAGGTAATTAAAATTGTAGTCGAAAGAGACTCTTTTATATATATATATATATATATATATATATATATATATATATATATATATATATATATATATATATATATATATATATATATATATATATATATATATATACTATATACACTTATATACATATATATATATATATATACTATATACACTTATATACATATATATATATATATATATATATATATATATATATATATATATATATATATATATATATATATATATATATATATATACTATATACACTTATATACATATATATATATATATATATATATATATATATATATATATATATATATATATATATATATATATATATATATATATATACTATATACACTTATATACATATATATATATATATATATATATATATATATATATATATATATATATATATATATATATATATATATATATATATATATATATATATATATATATATATATATATATATACTATATACACTTATATACATATCTTTAAAAAAAATTTTAAAATCTCTAAAAAAGTGTCCAAGACATGTATATTTACATTCTTATAACTATGATATTTTTCAGGTGTCCACTAATCTGATGTATTAGAAAAACCCTTTACTTTTATTAGTATGTATTCTTAGTTCAGTTAAAATTGTATGTATTTTTTCTACATATTGACAATTTTTTGAATTGTGAATATGCAGAGAAAATACTTTAAGACAATTTTAATACAACCCTTAGTACTTGACAGTATTCTTAAGTATTCTTACAGTATTCTTAGTATTCTTAAATCATATGATGTACAAAAATTTAACAAACAGTTGGAAATTGTAGATGAATTCGAATTTGAAGATTTGTTGTAGTTCTAGTTTTAGCAACAAAAAAAAGTGGGATGAACTACCAGAATTATCAGGCTCTGAAGGTACACAGAACATGACAACAAGAAAGTGACAGAATGAAAGAAGACAAATTTAATGGTGACCTTTAACAGCTGTTTGATATTGCAATGACAGAAATACAGAACAAAGATCTGTAATTCAAAAAAGAAACTTTTTTTTCATGCAACATGAGTGGAGTAAGTAGGAAGAGGCATCAAGAAAAAAAGTGAGAAAAGAGAAAATGAAATATAAAGAATGCATGACACAAGACATTAATGAAACAGAAGATAAACTTTCTTCATTCACATCTAATTCAGAATCAAAAGAAGATGAGAAGTATCAGCAACCTAAGCTATACAGATCTACAATGTCAATATCAACAACTTGTACTTTATCATAAGCTAACAAATATCTTCCAGTTTCCTGAAGTTGTAGATGCTTTGAACTGTATTTTGCAGGAGAGACTCAATCAAATGCCTGTATTGAAATAACTAAGAAATAGAATCACTGGAAAGCTAATACACTTTTGCTGCTTTTAAAAGAAAGCTTGCTTTTCTTAGTTACTTTGTATAATTACTTTAAATTAAGGTCATATTCAGCTTGAGTCATACTTGTTACCATAATATTATCTAAATAGGCATTGGTGTTTTTAAAGATTTCTCAATTGTAAATTTGTTGATTTTGTGTTGAAAAACAGCATCTGCATTTATTTTACCCAATGGTAAATGAGTAAAATGATTTGAATGATGATTTGCCAATTTGGATTATTATGCTGAATCTCTGTTAGGAGTGGGATTTGATGATAAGTGCTTGTAAGGTCAATAGTATTGAAAAAATGGTACTTGGACAATACATTGTCTATTCTAGGTAGAGGATAAGCATTCAGGTAAATGAATTTGTTTATATAGTTAAAGGTGCTTTAGTTACTGTGCTTTTTATATAGTTGAAGGTGCCTTAGTTACTGTGTTAGCTCACCTGTGATTTACTATATATGTATGTTTGTGTTCTGTCAGAACCTTTGGCTGTGTTCACTCACCCGTAAGCTACATTATGTGTGTTTGTGTTCTATCTAAACCTCTGGCGTGATATTCATTCACCAGTAAGTTACTTTATGTATGTTTGTGTTCTGTCTGAGTCTCTGGTACAGTGTTTACTCACCCGTAAGTTACTTTATGTTTGTTTGTGTTCTGTTTAAGCCTTTGATGCAGTGTAAGTTCAGTGACCTAGTTCAACTAGTGACCTTAACTATAAAAACAAAGCTCACCTTAATCTCTAGTGTTTTGATAGATGTAATATTTTTCCTAATGCATTTCCAAAATACCATGTTGTGTTTTGGAATTATAGAGTTGAGAAAGGGCTGTAACCACAACAAAAGTAGCTTCCTCGACTGTAGTGGCCTTCATGGCTTTTGGAAGGT